TGGCCTCAAGTAAATTAGTACTTCCGGTTGACATATTTGATCCAAAAGTTCACAAAGTCTTTAGCATATAGTCCTATAGCCACATATCAAGTTTCAAAAAATTATCTCAACCCAAACTGCGTTAAAATATTTTTGTTCGGGTTTTTTCGAATTTAGACCACTGTGCGTCGCCTGGTGTCTCGTTGTGCGCGGCACCGGTGCGAGCGTACAGCGCATATATTGCGCTATACAGTGTTATTGCAAGCCAACACGGAGCGTCCATTTTTTTAGTATTATCGCAATATATCTAAAGCAAGTAATGAAAGTTACCATATTTTGTTATATATTGAAAAAATAAATGTTTTATATTTAATATTTACATATTAAATATTTTGTACAAAAATCATGTCTTCAAAGCAAAAAAGCTAAATATGGCAGCATTTTAGCGAAATGAAAGACAATAAAGTGAATTGCTTAAAGTGCGGCCAACAGATGTCGGTGAAAAATAAATCAACATGTTCGTTAATTCGACACATGTCAAAAAAACATCCATTGGTGCAAATCACTCGACAGGACTCACCAATACGACTGCAGCAAGCTCTCATAGCATCAACCGAAGATCAACCAAGATTAACATCAATTACACAAAAAGAACTTACAAATGTACAGGATCATCAGGTACATCAGGACAAATTACCAACTATTTATTCAGACCCCTGACAATGAAAAAACAAAAGGAAATTGATCGTCAGCTTATAGCGATCATTACAAAGGAGTACCATCCGTTTTCGATTGTAGAGGACGATGAATTTAAAAAATTAATTTATATGTTAAATTCAAATTATAAATTACCAACTAGAAAAACGGTTTCGCAGTCGCTAATTCCCAACTTGTATCAAGAAACAGTTGATATAGTACAAGGAAGGTTAAAGAGGGCTACTGCAATTTGTCTAACAGTAGACGGTTGGTCATCTAGGAATCAAGATAGTTTTTATAGCGTTACCGCGCATTACGTCGTTGAAGAGGAGAAACGCACATATTTAGCATCAGATTTGTTGGGATGTGTGTCATTTGCGGATAAACACACCGGAGAGAATATCGCTAATAAATTAAAAATTATATTGAATGAATGGGAGATAAGTGAGAAGATTAATCTGGCAATACGAATTGGGGGTTGGAAGCATTGGGGTTGTTTCGCGCATTCTTTAAATCTTGTCGTGCAATCTGGCTTAAAAGAAGTACGCGTAATAGTAGATAAATTAAAAAAAATTGTAAGATATTTCAAGAAAAGCACTCATGCGTATAGCAAACTAAGGGAAACGCAAGAAAGAATGGAGCTTCCAGCTTTAAAATTAAAAAATGATGTACCGACTCGTTGGAATTCAACATATGAAATGATGCAACGTATAATTACTTTGAAAACTGCACTAGTATCAGCTTTAGCTGTCATAAAATCTGGGCGAGATGTTGATATTAACAATATAGACTTATTAAGTAATGAAGAATGGCTTATTGCTGAACAGACGGTAAACATTTTAGAAATGTTTAATGTTGTGACTACCGCTGTTAGTGCAGAAAAAGAGGTTAGTGCTTCATGCATAATATTATATTATAAACAGCTAATGAAACATATAAATTCCTTTAATACGGCAGATTTAATGCCTGAAGTAAACCAAATGGCAGAAAAATTAAAATTAGAATTACATAACAGGTTCAGTGATATGGAAGATAATGAGCTTATATCACAAGCAACAGTGCTTGACCCAAGATTTAAAAAGTTTGGCTTTATTACGCAAACAAGCTACAGTGACGCTATTGAAAAAATATGTTCTGAAAATACATCCACAAATACAATGATATATTATATTGAAAACACGGCTAGTTATAATCACACATCAACCTTACCTGAATCTAATAAAAGTTGTTTAGATATACTATGGAAAGATTTTGATTTAGAAGTCCAAAATCATCTGACTCCACAGGACACAAGCGACATTGTTAAAAAAGAAATGGACAAATATCTAGAGGAACCCTTACTAGCAAGAAAAGATATTTACGGTGTGATACAAGATCCATTAGTGTGGTGGCATCAGCGAAAGCACATTTATCCAAATTTATTTCAAATAATGAAGAAACGAATGTGCGTTATGGCAACATCCGTTCCTTGTGAAAGAATTTTCTCCAAAGCAGGGCAAATTGTAAGCGAAAAACGTGAGCGTCTAACGACGAACAAAATAGCTCAAGTGGTATTTTTAAGCTACAACTTAAACAATAGGGATTAGTATTGTTTTAATTTATATTTTTTACGTTGTTAAGTTTTTATTTCAATAACAAAGAACGTATCTTTATTTTTTTATATATGAATACTAGGAATGTACTTTTATTTTTTTATATTTTATAGTTCGTTTTTGATATAAATTATTTATTTTTACCTATGACATAGGTCTTGTATAAATAGGAACTATGTCATGTATACAAACTTCTGTGTATTATTGAATATACGTTTTCCATGTTATACATGTTGTTTAATTGAATGTATTAAAATATGATTCATTAGTTGGTGTATTAAGTTCTAGCAAATTCAGGTTTTATACGTGATTAAAGGCTGGTATTTTCAGCTTCATATCTGTAAATGTTCAATAGCTATTTGACAGATCTGTCAGATTTTTAGACCTGTTAAACTCCGCAAAATGAGAATATGTTACAGTGGCGGTGTACAGAATCTGAATATAAGGAGTACATGACGTGTTTTGTACAATGTCGCCATTATATTTGCTCATTTGAAGGGCTATAATAAGGTGATAAATCTGATAGATTTGTCGCATAGCTATTGAGGACTTTATAGATAGCTGAAAATACCAGCCATAACTCTTATGCCGCCTGCGTCATAGCGGTTGTGTGTCCAACTGCTTTGGATCTACGAGTGTGTTACGCCTATCCCTAGTAAGCCACACCAGCGTACGCTACTACGCCAACAGTGGCGCAATTGAGTTGACTCACTTTAAAGTTAGGTATCAGCGCACGTAACACACTGTACTGTGTTAACTCAATTGCGCTGCGCAGTGCAGTGTTACACATCTCTAGTACTTAGTATTGAATTGAATACAAGGTGTCAAAAACATTTGATATTAATGGTGTTAATTAAATACAATGTGTCAAAGTAATCAAATATTAATGGTAGCAGGAAAGCAACAAGGCAAGATATAAATGTGATTGTTGCCCTACACACATCTAAATGATAATCAATTTCTTCCCACGCACGGTTAAGGACGTTTGTTAGTTTTTCGACATGGATATTGAAGCGTCAGGTATGTACTTTAATCTGCAACTACTTGTTTGTAGTTTAGATATGATACACATTATATAACATTTATTATTTGCTTCAAGAAATTTTGAAATGTCAACTTTAACTAGAGTTATACAAAAAGTTTCAAAAAGTACACTAACTCTTTTTTACTAGTTCAAAAAAATATCTTTTAAATAACATCAAAAAATAAAATAGAAGTCCCCTTGTTTCCCCCTTCGTTAAATAGAGGGTATTTTTCAGGTTGTGGCGACCCCGCTTTAATGAAAATAAAGATTAAGAGAAAAGAACTGTTTATAGTGTTAAAAAATAAACAGCTTTATAAGTCATTAAAGTGTAATTATTACAGTATATATTGGATAAGTTTAGCGTTAGTGAACTTTCTGAAAATTGTACAAAACAAATAAAACTTGTGGTCGAAGTTGTAATTACATTTACGAGCGTTTTAACAACAAGAATATGAAATGGCTTAATGAAGACATGAAACGTCCAGACATACAGCTTGCAGCAACCAAGGTTTATATATTAAAGGTTGTCTAAGTTCCTATGCTGCAATACTTTGATTTTAGTTTGTGGGCGAGGGGCAAGAGCAGAAGTGTTTCGTGACGTAAGCGATCACGGATTGCGCACGCAACCTCATGGCCATGTGGTGCTCCATGCATTTGTTTAATGTGACGTAATGCGCAATATGGTTGCGTACGAACCTAGACAACCTTTTATATATAAACCTTGTGCAGCAACAGCACCAAAGAGGCGAGACAAGCCATGAAAATTATTCGAAGAGAGCTCTCAACGCAGTAAGCAACGACATATTGAACCAATTGTGTCAAATCTCTGTTCAGAAATACTGTGCTTGGCTGCAGAATCAACCTTGGTGAAATCAGGCAAAAGATCTGCAGCCCAGGTTGTGAAATTAGCAATACAATCTTCGCCCAACACATTAAAAAAAGTGAAAAAGGTGCAAGATACGGCATCCTTTGCTAATATAGGACCGTACAGCCCTGAAGAAGCTTTAGCTCTTATAGTGAATCTTGAGTTGACAAAAGAGGATTATACCGGGTGTTTCATTTAAAATGACATATGTTTATATCTCAAAAACAAAAATTCGAATCGAAAAAAGTTTCAAGTAAATATTTTTTGGTGACAAAGTGTCCCCCACATTGTACACATGAAGAGAATTTTTTTCAGGGTTGCCTAAAGGCCCTTCTGACGTCATTTTTATCTTTTCAAGTGGCACATATACTTTTTTCTTTCAAAGTCTTAAACAACTTAACAAACTGATTACTTTTTGCTTAAAAATTTTTTTTCTTAATCTCTCTGTTGTGAAGATTCCAACAAAAAGAAAAATAAAATAACATGTTTTAAAATGTAATTAAAAAAAATTAATTAATAAAAAAACGATTTAATTAATTGTAAAATAATACTAAAATTCTTCTTAACGTTTGAAATCGTCTTAGAAAATTGATTTAAAATTTTTTTTTAATGTTTATAAATCGAGTAAATCTCCCTCTTAACTTCCCTCCAACACTCTCCCAAAATATTAAAGTCGCTTCTCTGCTCCAGCCCATCCTCGTACTTTGTCGGCCTTCTACCTACTTCCATCCTCATCTCTCACTTTATATCCCTGAGTCTTCCTTCTACCCACATATTTTCGCTCCATACTTTATCACACTCCTCGTCAATCCATGAAACATTAATTTCCGTCTACACAAACCTTTTCCAAATATTAGTTCCTCTCGAAAGGTAAATCCCAGGTACATAAATTCCCTTACCTCCTCCCCTTTCCATTCCACTTTCAATCTCCTGTCCTTGCAGAATATGATAATCTCCAAATCCTTCCCCTCAAAGTATGTCTTCATCGATCTCATCATCACTTTTAACTCTTTATGTTGCCACCACCATCACCAGATCAATCGAACTTGGAAACAACGATAGGCTGATTGTTTTCCTTCAACCCAAATCGCATCTTCAATTTAATAGCAGAACAATACAAATACTGCGTATTATAATCTATGACTGAAAAGAGATGAATCCATTGCATTCTTATCATATTGCTGTGAAACAATTTACAGTTAGCATGGAAGTTACCTTCTTATGACAAAAAATAGAGGTAAGCTGAAGAAATCTTTATGTCTAACGAATATGATGCAACTAGCAGATTGGACGATCGCGATGGACTTGAGATATAACATTTCCAATTTCTTAACATATTTAAAAATTAAAAACTTTAGGTATTTAATATCATTCAAATCGATGAGCTGTCGTGCTTTTCCCTTATAAGTTTGTTCCTAGTTAATATTTATAATAATTTAACCATTACATTTTCTGAACAAATCGGCTTATAAGCACGCGTCTAACTCGTGCAATCAGGAGATTGCGCATAGGCCAAGGAGTTAAAGGTTGGGTTCTTTCTGTAATCATTCAAGTTTGAAGGAACTCTAACTCGGTGTCGGATTTAAGACCGATTAGTATTTTGCCGGTGCTTTCGAAGGCATTTGAAAAAATTTTAGCAAAACAACTTAGACATTATCTGAATGCGTGTAATATTTTGCCTGAATTCCAATCTGGGTTTAGACCTCATCATGGCTGCTGTGGAGCGCTTTTGAATATCACTGACGACTTGTTGTCTGCGGTTGATCAGGGGAAGATGTCGGCGCTTGTTATGTTGGACTACTCCAAGGCCTTTGATACTATTAATCATTCATTGTTGTTGAGTATTTTGCACTACATAGGCCTTGGGTGTGGTGCGATATCGTTGTTCGCTGACTATCTGGCGGGTAGGTCACAAAGTGTCATGATACATGGAAACAGATCTAGACCCACTGAAGTCGTATCCGGTGTACCTCAGGGCTCTGTGTTGGGTCCCATTTTATATACGGTGTATACATGTCGGTTATACGACTGTCTGCGTCATTGTAAGTATCATGCTTATGCTGATGACACTCAGATTTATTCCTCTTTTAATGAAAAAGATCTTGCTGTTGCGCAAAGACATATTAACCAGGACCTGGATGCACTAGTTAGCCTTTCAGAAAGGCATAATTTAGTTATTAACCCCGATAAGAGTAAGTTATTATTGTTCGGGAGTAAAGCGTGCAGGAATAGAATAAAAAATAATATACAGATTTTTGTTAAAAATAGTCCATTGAATATTTCAAGTGAAGCAAAAAATTTGGGTGTCATACTGGATTCCGAACTTCGTTTTACGCAGCATGTTAGTTCGATGATGCGGTGGTCGTACTGTGCTCTTAAATCTCTTTATGAACCGTTTCTTACTTAATAAACGAATAAAAATATTGCTCTGTGAAACACTTGTTTTGTCTAATCTTAATTATTGTGATGTCGTTTACGGACCTTGTCTCAAGGGTCGTGACAAATACCGTATCCAGAAGCTACAAAACTCTTGTATTAGATTCATTTCTGGTTTGAGAAATCGCGATCTCATGTTTATGAGGATATCGGTTGGCTGCGTATGGCTGCACGTCGTAGGTTGCATGCCCTTGTTTTCTACCACCATGTGCTGAATAAGAGGGTACCACAGTACTTGTATGAAAGAATTCGTTTCCGAACTGACGTTCACAACGTTAATATACGTAAAAAAGATTACCTGGCAATACCGCGTAACAGGCTTGAGCTGTTTAAGAGGTCGTTTTCTTACACCATTGTTTCCTATTATAATTCTGTTCCTCCTGAATTCCAGCACCTTAGTGGTATCTCCTTCAAGAAGAAAATCAAAGGGCTCTTTCTGACCTGTAATAAATGACTAGGTCGCACAGTTTTTTTTTTTTTTTTTTTTTCTCCGAGACTCCATACACACTATGTTATGATTGCTGGTTTTTCGTAATGCTTGCACTGTAGTCAATCAATTTGTACTATAAATTCTCTTTTATAATCGGGGGCGTTTAACACTTTACTACTTAATTCTAGCTAGTTAATTCTTGTTTTAAATTATTAAATGCATTTTCCTTCTGTTCATCCCATTCAACCTTATTTTTAGCTCCTTTTCACAAAGCGTCTGTTAAAGGACTAACAATTTTTGCATAATTTGGTATGTAATGGTTATAATACCCAGTTATCCCTAAAAAGATTCTAATATCTTTTTTTGTTACCGGTCGTCGATATTCATTTATGGCAGCAACTTTTGCTTCAGATGGAGCTCTATAACCTTGTCCTACTTTATGTCCCAGATAAACAACTTGAGCTTTTACCTGCTCACATTGCTTTGCCTTTATTGTAAGACCTACCTTATGCATAGCTGTAAATCATGTCATTGATGGTACTGTTATAAATAACATAAATAATACTACTCATGTACATAGGAAAAAGAAATCAAATAAAGTAAGAGAAATAAAAATGAAACAAAATAAATGAATAAAAATGAAATAAAACAATTTAGAATAAAATAAAATAAGATAAAATAAAAATCAAAATTTTTGTTGTTTGAAAGTCAGGTAGGTGCTCAGCCTCTATAAACAGACGCTGTGAGATATTCGACGAGGGTATAATAGTTATTTATGTACCAAGTCGGCAAAGTGATGCTTTATCGAACGAGTCTGAATTTGCGAGTCAAGCGAGCGAAGCGAGCGAGGCGAGTAACAGGCGAGTTAAAGTACTTTGTCTGCCGTTAAATGCACAGTTCTCTAGACAGTAGCACAAAGTGTCACTTTACTGCCGCAAATGGGTAGCATAAAGTATGGTTTTGCTGCCGGTTGGCGATAAAATACATTATTTGCTTGAAGATATTTTTTGAGTTCACACTTAAACATGCGCAGCAAACCATTAAATACAACCACCCCAGGGTACAGAGGGCCTCTCCTATTCATCTCGTATCGGAAATTAAGAACCACCAACCAATTGATTTCTACCTCTCGTACCATGATGGTGCAAGTCTCTCGATCGTAAAAGGTCGTTTTGTTGTTTGAAGATAAGGCTACATATCTTAAGAATATATAAATTAGTAACAGTGAGTATTTTATGTTTTAAGAAGATCGGACGACAGGAGTCCATACGTTTAAGACCACAGAGGGCTCTTATTGCGCGCTTCTGTATTATAAAGAATGATTTTACAGAAGAGGAATTACCCCAGAACTCTATTCCATATTGTAATATGCTTTGAAAATAAGCATAATACGTTGACATTGCCTGGGGGAAGCCAGGCATTACTCTCCTGACCGATGAGACCGCAAATACTGCCCCCCAATTCCTCAGTGTGAGATCTCCAGCTCAGATGTTTACCTATTGATAGCCCCAAAAATTTTACACATTCAGTGACACAGACGTTGCATATCATCTCCCTTGCCCTGCAGTAAAGTAGTGACAGATTCAAGTCCTGTAAAAAGAAGCATGTGTCAGCGGCGAAGAGGGAAAACTCCATTCGGAACCAGTCGTTAGCCAGTCCCCTAATTCCATAATGCTGAAGTTTCTCCAGCAGCAGCTGATGGTTGACGCAGTCAAATGCACGGGAAAGCATTAATCTTTGAAAAAAAAAAAATGGAGCGAATTGAAGTCCGAATGGCAATGTTACTCGTTCAAATACTCCTCGATGCGTTATAAAAGCTGCATATTTATTTGCTACTATTCCTGCTTAAATTTATGATATCCAGTTCTATCCTTAATAGGACCCCTCTTCAAAATGCAAATATTTAATCAAAATCAAAATGCAACATGTTCCGCTGCTTCTTCAATTGATTTAGTTTTATTGTGATCTTCAACCCAAAATCTCATTTCAGATGGTATTGAACTGTAAAACTTTTCTAAACATATTAATTGTATTAATTTATTAACATCGCTGCATATCCCTTTGCATTTAATCCATTCTTTAAAGTTATTCTTCAACTGATAAGCAAATTCAGCATAACTCTGGTCAAATTTATTTTTACCATATCTAAATTTGGCCCTAAACACTTCAGAAGTTAACTAATATTTTTTTTTAATAAACTGGCTCTAACTTTATTATAATCTTTTGCATCTTCTTCGTTTAATCTAGCCACAACTTCATTTGCGGCTGTTGACAAAACACGGATCACAATAGCCTAACCACTTTCCTAACCATCATAAAATCATAAAATTCTACACTCAAAATGTTTTGGAAATAATTTTAGAAAAGAAATTAAAAAGAATTTTAAATTACAATAAAATTTGAATAATGTAATAATAGAATCTGATAGTTCACTATAAACGTTCAAAACTTAAAATACAGCGTGAGTAATTCGCAAACATAGCAAATACTATCCAGCCGTTAAGCGTATTATGACACCTGTTAAATCGATTTGAATATGTCTCATTTCCCTGGATACCTACACAAATTCTTTGTAAAATAACCGAGAGGTATATAAAGGGGTTAAGCTTGTAAAACACTACAAACCACAGTTTACTTTCAAAGCTAAATCATCCCTTCTAGATAAATAAAAAATAATTACTAAAAGTAATCTACATTTTTTAATTCATGGCGTTTTATTTGTTTTGTTTTCTTTTTGTAGATGGACTCGAAAAAATTATGGATCATCATTTTAATATTTAACGTTTATTTTTCAAACGGTTTTATAATGAAGAAAAGATACCAAGCATGTGGTGACCGTCTAAGCGATTTATTAATGCTTGTTTGTGGTTCAGATTATGCGGAAAAACGAACTGTTGATGAACATAGTAAGTGTATTATTTTATTAAAATTAATTTGATATAATAATTTTTCTTTTAGGCTCTATAGAAAGTGTTCTAACAGAATTTACTTCTAAAGATGATTCACCAGATGAGGGGATAATACATTCAACAGATTTCGATAATCAAATTCAAGTAAAACAAAATTTATCTACAAGACGAGTTGTTGATGAGTGTTGTAAAAGATCTTGTTCTCATAGCACTTTGTTATCCTATTGTGGTTAAATGTAAAAAAAATGTGCCTTTTTCCACTTGATTATTTCTCAAAAATCAAAAATATTAAACAATCATTAAAAATCGCTAAAACCTTTTTAATTTGATACCAAACACTACATAGTTTTATTAAAGGGACCCTACGCGATCATACAGACTGTTTGTAGTTGCAAATACACAAGTCTTTTTCATTCATCGCTTTCAGCATGCTTGTGTTACTGATTGTGAGAAACTTTCTCCGAAATGCTAGAATAAGATTATTACGGCCTACAGAAGCAAATAGAAGAAAATATTTAGATAAAGTATCTAAAAGAAGCGTTTAAGTACGACATCATGCAGAAAGATAAGCTAAATAACATCACACTATTTGCACCTATGCGAAGTGAGCCCCTCATTTTTCTAGCCCCCAATTAGATAGGATTTTACTTACGCGTATACTATTTTGATTATAATTAGAGAACCTTTCAACCGATTTCGATGAACAATATCTCATTCGAAAATTTAATCCACCGCATACGAGGTGGGGTATCATATACCCCAGCTTCAGGAAAACTGAAAAAATTGAAAAACAAAAAAGACACGTGAGATCGTGTTCTATGTAAAATTTTATAGAAATAGTATTTCATTTCCGGGGTATGTCATACTCCACCTAGTATGGCATGTGAGATAAATTCACCTCGTATGTGGAAGGTTAATCCTTGGCCAATATGAAAGTGGAAATGCCCGATTCGAAATTTCTTTCAAATTCCGGTTAAACGCCAAAATAGTACGCAGGTACACGAAAATAACACAAAAATGATCTTTTTTAATTGGTCACAATTCGTAAACGATGTACTGGATTATCAAGATCTATACGTCATTCGATTCGCCATAGTTTCTTTATTAGAAGACCGATCATGACGTATACGGCTGAGACTAGACGTGACATATCTAAAACAGCAGAAATAAAGATATTTCGTCAAATTGCTGGCAAAACTCTATACAATAAAGAATTAAAATTAGAATTTTCTCAACTTCATTGTCTGAAAATATAGAGAATCGGGTCCCTGTAAGGGGTCCCTTACGGGCCTCACGTTGTGTTTAGGATCCTTTTTTATAAACATATCTTTCTCCCATTTCTAAACATTTATTGACTGTTTTGAAAAGTAACAAAGCTGGAAAAGTGTTTTCGTTATTTTCATCACTGTCAACTACATTCATGATTATCATCAGTTATTAAATCTGCCAGCTCTTCTTCTTTCAATTTAGAATCATGTGACTCAAGTAGCTCTTCAATATCTGACAGATGAATGATTGTCACTAAAACCATCTCCCGGTAATGACCACCCTACAGCTACTATAGCCTGAATGTTATTCTGCAAATTCTCTTCATCATTCTCTGATGTTACAACATTTGGCCAGATTTTCCTCCAGCAACCATTCAATGTGAACTTTTACAATTCACGGCGCGATTGTTCAATATTTTCTATACAATCAGCAATGTTGTAATTTTTCCAGGATTGTTGTAAAGTTAGTTCTGTACCACTGTCCAAATTATCCAGCGACTTCATGAAAATTCCTCTGGTATAATAAGCCTTGAATGTAGCTATAATACCTTGGTCTAAAGGCTGAAAAAGAGAAGTTGTGTTTTTTAGAGTTCTGGGGTTTAATATAATATAATATAATATATATTTATTGGTGAAACCAAAAAAAAAAAAGTACAATTTACAATTACAAAAAAAAATATCAGGGAAAAAAAAAATGAAATATACATATATAAAAAAAAATGAAGTACTAAACCATAAATAATAAGCGGTTTACCAAAGGAAACCAAGTCAATGATCACCTGATGGACTCAGGTGTTATTGTTTTTCATCGGTCCCTTGATCAATATAGAAAATATATATAAACAGAATCCGATCATGCAGTAACACAATAAGGTAAGAAAGAAGTAAAAGTAAAAGAAGAATAAAGGAAGGAGCCGAAAAAGAAATAGAAAAAAAAAGAAATAGAAAAAGAAGAAAAAGAAAAATAAATAGAAGAGGAAGGATAAGAAAGAAGGGATAGTTTTATACATACTATATATATATCCCGTCAAGCAAAAGCTTGTTTATCTTAAATCACCCTGCTGCCGAAGAAGATATGCTTTGTAAAAAAATTTAAAACTACTCTTAGATTTATTGTTAATATCAGTAGGAATGCTATTGATCAAATTAGGTATACTATATGAAAAACATCGTTCAAAAATTTGCAATCTATGTTGGGGTATAGACAAGGAAGAACGACGACGGATGTTGATGTTATGCACGTCAGAGCGGTATCTCAATTTATTTAACAAGTAGGGAGGCTTTTGATTGAAAATAATTCTTCGATAAAAACAAGCAGAGTGCAATTTACGACGCCGAGACATATTTAACCACCCAACCCAGTTTAAGGTATGGGATATTTTTTCTCGCTTTCGAATGCCAAATATAAAGCGTAAGCATGCATTTTGCACACGTTGAACACGCAACGACTCGGCAACATCTAAACAGGAGCCATATAGAACATCCCCATAATTAAAAATGCTTAACACCAGTGAATCACAAAACTACGCTCTCAGACGCTGATTAAGCAGTTGTCTATTACCACATAGTAGCTTCAACGTGGTATAAGCAGGATGGAGAAGAGAAGCGACATGTTTAAGAAATCTAAGAGTAGAATCAATAGTGATTCCCAGGTTTCGCGACTCGTCAGTAATATTTAGCTTAACGCCATTCAATTTTAGATCCACAGATGCCTTGACCTCCCCAACGGCTCGCCGCCCCCCAAAGACCATAACCGACGATTTATCCGGGTTTAATTGAAGGCAAAGTTTTGAAGATTCCTCAACCAATCTTGTCAAATCAGAATTTATACAATTTTGTGCATCAGCAAGGTCATTGATGTTAAAAGAATAGTAAAGTTGCGTATCGTCAGCATACATGTGAGCCTTACAACTTCTCAGTACATTATATAAATTGCAAGTGTAAATTAAATAGAGAATTGGACCAAGAACTGATCCCTGAGGAACTCCAGACGATACAGCACATTCAGTAGAGAAGTTGCCATTTAGAGCTACCATTTGCTTACGACCAGTTAAATAGTTACAGAAAAACAAAATGGAATCATCAGAAAGTCCAATGTAATGAAGCATAGATAAAAGAGTTTTATGATGAACGGTATCAAAAGCCTTTGAATAATCCAGTAAAATTAAAATAGTGACATTTTTCTGATCAATCTCACGAACAATGTCGTCGGTCACATCCAATAGGGCAGCAGTACAGCTGTATCCTTTACGAAAGCCAGATTGCCGCATAGGTAGAATATTGAACTTATCTAAGTGCTCTCGCAACCTGTCAGCAATAATTTTTTCCAGAATTTTAGATATAACCGGCAAAATACTAATCGGTCTCAAATCTTTTAATTGGCTGGGATTGCTAGATTTTGGAATTGGCGTAATTAGAGCAGTTTTCCAACAGTCAGGAAACACAGAGCCCTGAATGCAATAGTTAATTATATGACAAATATAAGGCAAAATCAACGGGCAACACAGCAACAACATCTTTATACCAATACCATCAGTACCAATAGCATTTGATTTGAGATTGAGTAGTACGTCATAAATCTCTTCTTTAGTTGCAAGCGTTAATGTCAGCTTCTCAGTAACACCAGGTACTATGTTTAAGTTATAATAATTAATAGTGTCCATATCACCCGTAGCAACTATTTGAGAAGTTTGGAAGTAGTCGTTAATAGCATCAACACTCGCTAAAAAGTCCGGAATAGAACGCTGTTTACTATTAACAATGCCCATCGCC